GGTGCTCCCATGTTATGCCCCCTTTTTTTATTCACCCATTTTTTTTTACTCCGACTCTAGCATTCGCCTTTTTTGTAGGACAACTTCTCAATCAAATTAATTTTATATTTTGGGACTTCCTGCGTCGAAGGGGACTTCGCGGTAAAACGGAAATCGATTATTGGCCAGGGTTATGCGGAATTTTTGCGATATTCAGGGATCAAGGTTAATTCGATTTGTGAAGAACGGATAGGCAATTTATAGGAAGTATTTATGATTAATGATGAAAGAATTTCCGATTGAATTTGAGATTTTTCAGGGAGTGGAGAGTAATTTGTTTTAAAAAATTTGGAATTAAAAATTTCGACTGTCTATTTATCAATTCATTATTTTCTATTATTTTAAATTATTTATTTATTCCCATTGATGTTATAAATGTTTTTTCCTTTTTTTTACATCAGCACCAGCTTTTACCATCTCCCAAGAAATTTATATTATAACAATAGCTAAATAATAATTATAAATCTATAATATATAGATATCGAACCTACATCTATAAGTTCAAGTTTTAAGTTTAAAAGTAGAAGAAAATGAATGAAAAAGAAAAATTAACAATTAATTTTAAAGAAGAAAAATAAATTTAAAAAGAAAAATAAAATATTTTATATTTGGCTAAAAGGATTCCCAACATCCTCAAGTTCGACGGCCCATACTTTTTATTTATCAAGTCTGTATAACATTTTTTTGAGAATTTGTTACAAGGAGATTTTAGCCTCGTAAAGATACGTTGTTTGAAGAAAAAATCGATGAAAGATACATGATTGCTCGTTGAAGGGACACTTGTCAAGGATTCCTCTTATAGTGGGCTATATGAGACACATAAAAAAGGGGTTCTTCAGGAATTCCGATAGGGATCTCTAAATGTAGTGAAATTTGCAGAGTTGTGGGCAGATAAATTTTTCAAAAGCATTCAGTTTTCTTCCGTAACATTCTTCGAGACTAAAAAGACTTTTAGGGCCATTTGTCAGAGGGTTATTTCAGAGATTCCGAGGACGACGAAAAAATTTATGGATCGATTTTAATCGAGTTCTTTCATATAGGGCAGTATCCGCGGAATATTTACTCCATTATTTCAATTGAAAATTCAATTTCTATCCGATCATTCCGATTTTTTAAAATACTTTGTGGGGAAGGAAATTATCTCGCGAGTTAGAAAGGCGGTAAATAGTTTTGCTGCTATGCAAAGAATATCACTTTTAGTTTAAAAACATGAAAGATTATGGACAGGGTGTGGTATTTTCGCCTCGAAAATTCCATGGTATTTACGACATCATTGATAATTTCAGAATTTCCCGCCAATACTTTAATCGAATGGCGAAGTATGTAGCGTTTGTGGCCCGCGACTGTCCGCGAATGCAATTTCAAATTGTAAATAATACACTGTGAATATTAAAAAAAATTTATTCTCAAACGAAATTCCAAAGAAAAAAACTGACTGGACATACTCGCGGGCAAAGTCAAATTGACTAAATTACACGACTAATTACATGACTCATCATGATAGACGAAAGGGCAAGAAGGAGCAGACGACATTAATCTTTATATAGCCGGAATAAAGATGAGGAAATCCATGAAGGATCATGTTCTTTACCTGACAGTTTTCTAAGTCTTTGGTTTAATTTTCATCAAAGGATTTTGTCATCGAGCCTCTAAGGGCTTTCATTTCGTCCTAAGTCCCTGAGGATTTTAACGCCCTGACAAGATGTGAAATTGAGATCCTAAAGCTTGTTATTGAGAATGTTCTGCCTCTTTTACCCGCAATTACCGGTTTTTTGAGTTTTCTGACAAATTCTTGATCAAATCGAACTGAAAAAAATGCCGTTTTGGGATTTCATCGTCATTTCATGCCTCACCAAGTTTTATGAATTTTTTAAAGGATTAGAAAAAACCGCAGGAAATGTATGACGAGTGCTGAAAATTTTATTCAATAATATTACTACTGAAAATATTTTTTTAAAATATGACAAGTCAAAATATTATAGTGTAAATATATTATCTCGTGAAAATATTGATCCGAATTTTTCAAGTATTATATTGTATTCTATATTCATTTCGGTTGGCACAGCTCCGAATCTTTCATTTCCATTTTTGACAACTTCCGGAAGCCAACACTTCGCACAGTAGTGGTGGACGCCAAATCCGTCGACCTGGAGAATAGTTACAGAACCAGATTAACATGGTTTAGGTCCTCTAATGTGATGCAATTTCATTTACATGATATATAGGACTACAAGCCGGTATTTCTAGTAAATACTCTGTGCGCCTTAGGTCAGTTTGAAATTATCAGTAGAGATTTTTCATCTTCACAATTTCGGGCTGAAGTCGGCAGAATGACCACTTCCTCAGGGAATAGTAAATCTCGACGTTATCAATTATTAAAGTGGATTTGATTAGATTACGCTGACATATCTGAGACAAATTTTGGGATGCAATTTTTTGAATTCGAATATTTTGAGCTGTATTACTTTAATTGTACATTTCCCTTGGGGTATTCGACGCTATCTTCTCTACGAAAGCAAGCAGAAGGAAGTATTGTCATGAAGAATTTCCGCCACCCCACAAATCCCGAGAACTCATCATAAACTTCAGATTGAACTTCATGATGACGGTTAAATTGAAAACGGACGTTGCTCAGTCAGTTGCCGTGAGATTCTCATTTTTACTCGGTTTGAAACACGATAAAAATTAGCATTTGGCCTAATTGATAATTGGTAGTTTGCCGTTTGTCCCGTTAAAATTGGAGTATACGATAGTGATCTAAGTACTGGTACTGTCTCCATACACCACTTCAATCAATCCACAATCCCTCGTGGCTACCGAGGCTAGTCATTTTGTTAAATCCCTGAGTAAGTAAGGAGGGGGATTAAAATACTAGCAGTGACACTAAGTTTGAAGTATTTCGCAGACAGAGTGAGGTCACGCGTGGGCATTTCCCAGAAATCTCAAGTTGACGATTGAGTCGTCAAGCGGAAATGGCGCAAAATTGTTGAATTACCAATTCTGATGATACGGGCGAGGGGAATAAGAAGCAGCCCCCTTTTATTGCCCCCTTCTGTCGCTCTTTTTTTTTCCTCTCTCAACGTATTTACAAAAGGGATAGGTGGGGGGGATTGGGCAGACAGCATGGCGCGCTTGTACGTGAACCCAAGCCCATTCAAACGCCTCATCAATCCACCTATCGACCTCATTCATTTCATCATCATTCAACCAGCTATTACCCATATCTTCCCATTTTTTAAGTTATTTTTAAGTTATTTCCAAATTATCGCAATTCATGCATCAGATTGACGTGAAAAAATCTACCCCTTTTTAGATTTTCTCCCATTCTGTTATTCAGTTACTCACTAATTTTCGTAGTCCTCTGGTTTTCGGAATTTCTAGGAAGTCTCGGGAATTTCTGTCAAAATTCGTTGAGAACGTAGATATTTCGAGACATTGGAAAATAATAAAACTTAAAAACGTCCAATTTTTTAATATTTTTTTTTTATTTTCGAGAAGATATGAGCAAGATAATTGCCAAAAATAATCGATGCATCGATATCTCTCCAAGGGCTCAAGGGATTTCAATATGGTTTCTTTCAAAGACTCATCTTGTTTTGTTTTTATCTATTCAACCATTTCTCAACAGTTACTGTGCATCATTATTATTTTTGGAGAATTTCACTCGTCTACTTGTTACTTGCTGATAATATCTCAAACATTGTTGGCCGTAATCAATTTTATTTTTTCGAATTCTGAAAAATAATTGTGATATTTTTATATCATTATGTATTGCTAAAAATACTCATTACATATGCATTTCTATTTATTGGTAAGTTCCTAAACATCATTGACTTGAATCAATTCCTATTTTTCAAATTGTCAAAATCAACACAGCAATTTTAGTTGATCTCCTGGTTTAAAAATCCGAAATGAGGGATTGGAATTCCGAAAAAATATCTTTCGTAATCACCATAACGATTGAATATATTGGATTAGGTAGATAAATCCTGATTCTCCGTTCTTCTTTGACACTGGTTTATTCCTTGCTCTATCTTCTGTAACTACATATTCTATAAAAATCCATAAAAAAATTTTTCATCATCTCCAATATAAAAGGACCTTACTCGAAGTAATAAATTAATTCTTGGATTTTAAATATCTCAACAGAATGAACAACCTCCCCAGAAGCCCTTCACCTTCACGCACCAATTCTTAAGAAAAGCCCACGAAAACCACCCGGGACCAGCACTTAATAAACCCATCAACCAAAAATTCTCACATCATAAAAACCTACACAGGTGTTAACATTACACACCGCCATCATGAATGACTGAAGTGGTTCCCGTAAGTAGTTAAACCTGCTCCAAAGAGACTTCCACTTCATTCATACCACAACTACAAGAGATCCCTACCCCAACGATCTCACTTCCCCCAATTTCCCACTGATCCACCCAAAACCACCCCAATGTCACATGGACTTTCCCCCCAAAATCAGGCCCACCCTCTCCTCTAAAAAAAATCCAAAAATCCAAAAGCCAAACCTCGAAGAAATAATTCACAAGAAACAATGGTATCTCCCGATATCAAAAGCCATAAGTCACTTTGCCCTGCTCTTTTCCCTTCTGTTTTGTCCAGAAAGAGAGGCAAGGTGGATAGAAATTTTGAAGAAAAAGAAAGCGAGCCCAGGGAACGTAGAATAGCCACTAAGATATGGTACATTGGTGGTAAGTAGTGGTGGAAAGAAAACGAAGAGAAAGAGCACCTGGTGGGGATAATATTAGTCGAAGCTAGACTGAGAGAGGATAATGAATAAGACAAGGAGAGATTGAGGGGAGGGATAAGAAACGTAGGCAATATTCCAACAAGACAGGTGGAGGTGATTATGGTGGGGGTAAAAAGGGACTGGCCCCAAACGTTTGTAGTATACAGTTGTATATGTATGAATCGGTGCGACGGCTCACTGTGCCACAGTAGTCACTGGTAGTCACAGTACGCCTCTCAAACGTGTCGGATCAATTTTTCCTCCTTTTTAATCAATCTAAAAAAGAAAGAAACACCTACTCACATACATTTTTTTCATTTCACTGGACTTCATTCCCATACCCCGATTAATCAATCGATATTGATCACTGATCAAGCGCTCAGCCAATTGGCCAACAAGTACATTTGGATACCGTCGATTTATTTGGATTTTATCATCATATAGTGATTCTGGTTTATGTGATTTTTTTAATTAAATATTTTTGTGCTTTAGTGGCTGTTGATGTAATTGAATGAGCGTTCAATCACTGGTGTTTATTTGATAGTGAGGATTGGGAATAGTGACGGGAATTGTGACTATTGTTAAGACCTGGTTACATCTGGATTGTGAATGGTGGTGAGTGTTGGTTTACAAGTGGTCAGAATATACGGTAACTATCGGTGTATGGACACGCTGAGATGCCGTGATTGCACGGATTGCAGACACAGGGATAGCTAGAGGTGAGTCTTCAGATTATTCCATCAGCTTTCGACATTATTCATTCTTCATTGATATCATTCATTGTCGTCTTGATGCTTTATCGTCAATAATTACGTGTTGCCCTGTTCCAACAAACTCCCATTATTTTTTCTCTATTTCATCAACAGAAAAACCTGTAGATCGACGAGTGTAGGACTTGCCCTAATTTTTCCAATTGATATGCTATTACATGAGTACACATTTCGTGCATGTACATTCCAACTAATAACGTGCTACATATGTGATTCATACACTAAAATTTTAATTCTTCCTCTGCTCCCAGACAAATGAAACGATTTCTGTTGAATATCACTCAGAAATTTCTCGAAATTATTTGAATTTCCGTGAGCATGCGTCGTTACCAATAATTAATATGATGAGAAATAAAAAATAGAGTCATTTACCCTATAATAACACTGATGGTGATAAATAGTCTTATTGGAAATGCCCTAAAACACAAACATCCCGATGGAATCCCCGCAACCAGAAGATAATCATCAGAATGGGAATGGGAATGAGAATGTTCATCCGCTGCAGGGATGTAATGAAATGAAATGGCATGTGATGAGGGAGAAATGAGTGGATTAGTGATATGGGGAAAATGATTGAAAAATCTAAAGAAGAATAAAAAATTGGCCCCGATTATTTTTGACGATGACGTTGGTTACTTGTTGACCGTAAACCGCGAGAGCGCGTTCCACCGTGGCCCAATCGGCTACACCATACAACCAATGCCTACCTTCGTAAAACCGATATAAAACGCGGCTGCTGGGGGGACCGAGAGGAGAAGAGAGAACCACAAGGAGTTTTCTGTAACCGATGAGACGAGTTGGAGAAGGAGGATGAAGATAGTCCCCCTCGCGACTATAGACTATACAGAAAATACACATACACATTTTGCTGGCATCCTTTCTGCTCTCCTCGTTGGAGCATTTTGCTCCTTCTTCTCTCCCTCAACTTGCGTCCCGCGGATTCCAAGACACGGACCGCATTCCATTGCGGATACGGACCGAGAAGTTGGATATAATTCCGCTCCCATCTCGTCTTCTTTCATCTTTCCAGACAAAACTTTTAGACCTTTCATTAATCCCATTAAATCATTAGGGACTAAATCGGAACAATATCGCTATTGGTTTTGCTATTCATTGCCGAACCGAGCTATTTCGATCCCTCAATTGGTGTTAATTAATTTTTCGGAATTAGGGTTAATTAATTGGTGGGCCATCGGACAGGATGGAGGGGGAACTCTTGATGGGTTTCGCTGATTGAGGATTGACCGATTGTTCGTGATTTGTATGGTTAGATACAAGTTCAGGATTTGGGGACGGATCGGTTTTGATTTTTATATTTGTTTGTTGAGGATTAGGTTCGGATGGGTTGGGACTATTATCGCATTTTTGGAGAACGTGGTATGGCGAGTTTTGACGTTTATTTTTGAATGACTATCGTTTTTTGTGGAAGCGAATAATTGAGAGGTTTTTTGGGGGAAAAGCGTTATTATTTTTAATGCAATCGGGGTAATGGAGTGTAATGAATTTGGAGTTTGAAATTTCATTTGGAAAATTTTTTCAATTAATTTTGGTATTTTCTGTTAATTCAGAAGTTTTTATAATACATCCGAATGTTAACAGATAAGTCAAATTTCCAACACATGTCTATATTGAGAATATCAACTCAAACAATCCCGCTTTTTTCGTACCGAAAATCCTGCGAAATTCAATAACAGCATTTAAAAAAAGAATGAAATTATTTATTTTGAAACTGTCAAGCCGGTTTTAATCACTGAGCCTCAGCCTCTCTCGCATTCCTCAAGACGTTTTTAACGAACGTGAAACGTGCTTGAGATATAACAAGATGGCGGGTTTTATCAACGACACCTCGCGGTCCAAAATCCCACGAATACGAAAAATCCAAGTTCAATATGATTAATAAAATTACCAAACCGCTGAACACTCCTTCGATCAGGCGTTGAATAATTGTATAAATAATAATCGCGGCTGCATCCGGAAATGCGAAACATTGTTGCGAATCATCGAAGAGATGCGTCATGCAGAGCCAGTCGACCTTCCCCTGTTCCTTGACTGTTGGTTCATAATGATATATGTTAATATACGCGAGTAAGTGAGAAGGGGAATAAAAAATAGATACTGGATGGATTGAGAATTGCTGAATTGAATCGGATGGGTTGGAGGAAGGGTGGTGATGGTGATGATGGTGATGGCGGTGAGGTGAATGTAGTGGTGTAGATGTGGCGGTAGAGATTACGAGTCGGCGAGTGGTCGGGAGCAGACAGCTTGGCTCTAGCGCGCGCACCCGGCGCAGCCTTGCCGTCTCCTACCGCTCCAACTCTGCCGCCATCTACACTCGCCCCTCCCCCCACCCACAACACCATATAAAGCATATAAACAATGCGTTATTATCATACATTCACTCAAAAATATATTTCACCCAAAGATATATTTCAATCCAAAATTCTCCAGCTTAATAAATAATATTATTCATTTATTAACGTTAATCTATAAAGTATTTTTATTATTATTATCATAAACTCACTCAAAAATAAATTCCACCCAACCGTCTATACTCTCACGGGACCTTAAACAATCGTCAATCTTAATGAATAATGAATAATGGATATTAATGCCAACATCATGTAAAGTATACTTTATCTTTGTTATGAACTCAATCAAAAATGGATTTCATAGAACCATGAATAATCTCGTAAAACCTTCGAAAATCGTCAAACTTGAAAATATATGATTTACTCGAAAATATGTTTCCTTCAATCATTGATATTTTCGCGAAACCTTGAAAAATCATTAAAGTTGACAGACATGGTTTATTAGAGAAATCGAGTAAATGATTTGAAGTTATTTAAAGGTGTAGTAGGATAACATAAATTGCGAGAATAAAAAAAATGGGGGAAATGGTATTTCAATCGTTATTCTTTAAATTCTGTGTTTCAACAATTACTGACATTCCGAGCGTTTATGAATGAATATTTCAGGGGAACTTTTATTATAGTCCGAACAATTCGTTTACAAGGAAATTTCATCACCTAAATTTCTCCCTATTACTTCTCAGTTATTACGGTAATTCCTTCTGTCAAGTTTTAAAAGGGAAAATTCTTGGGTTTTTCACGGGTTAACTTGTTTCTACCTGAATTCCCATTGACTTACCGTCAGCTGTGAATTTCATCATTTCCTACTACCGAAAACGGAAAATTAAAAAAAGATTGACGACTCGTCATCACATTCTCCTTCTGATGTTTACCTTTCTACATCCAGGTCTTCATGTCCACCCTTTAAATATTTATTCCTGAATATAAAATCCTCGGGATAACACCTTTTGTTTCACAGACACTCTGACAACGGTGATAAATTTCCACCTGTCATGCGATGAAACCTCTTGTTTTCATTATCTCATCCAATAGAAGAAATACTAGACATTTGTAAATGAATGCGTGGAAACGACTGAATTATTCGCATGAAATTTGACAATTCACGCCTTCTAAAATCTCATATTGTTTTGAAAAATCATTAACAAGTTGACGGTGTCAATTCAAAATTCCAAGTTGTCGAGTAAACTGGAGATGTGTAGAAAAGACAACTCATTATATTTTGAGGAATTCAAAAAAGCAAATTTTGTGGCTATTGAGAAGTTAGAAAATATTTCGCATCACTCGCACTCACATGTATTCGCCACTATTAATTAATTTCATTTGTTAATTCGAAAACAATTTTTTTTTAATTTACCTAATTTTCGTTGATAGTATATAAACAAATAGCGGTCATGATTTGAATTAACAATTTTTTATTTGGGTTTTTATTGCAGAAGGTGGCATAGTGCCCAGTGACTGGACGTCACGATGCGCACATTGCTTCTCTTAAGATTGGCGTTGACGGTGGGAGTCTCCGCACTGATTGTCAATGCAACAAGTACATCAGACAGCAATGTTATTTCTAAACTAGACAACACAGAGCGTGAACAAGCGACGGCGAATTTAGAAGCGAGTTTGTTGTCACTCCTGGGCTTCAGCAAGAGGCCAAAGCCCTCCTCCAAAGTTCACGTACCTCAGTCACTGTGGCAGCTTTACAATAAACAAAATACCATAAAGATGGCAAACATTGCGAGGCCTGGCATTCACACCAGATCGGCGAACACAGTCCGGTCATTCTCTCACGTTGGTGAGTTGAGAAATCTCTCCTTTCCTCATCACTATTCACGAGGGGCTATTCAGTGGTCAAATCACTGCAGGATCACTTCCAATTTAAAGCATGTGAAATCATCGGAAAGCATTTAAAATCACTTGAAGTTATTTAAAAACACACACACCATGAAATCACATGATCAACAATCACTGTGTCACTATATTTGACGATGAATAACCCCTCGACTATTCCATTTCCTGGATAACTGGTAAATTCTTTCTATTCATGAAATTTCTGAGGAAACACTGGAAACATCTAGAATCAAATTCATTGTCACTCTTTTCAGTTTCTATTTGAATTTTTCTTGCGACTTGTAAGCCGACGAGCGATTTCGATCAATTATACAATTTTTTTTGTTCAAAAATTTTTATCTGAGTTCACGTATATAACATCCCCAATCCCAGGTAGATAAAACCATGTAAATAGCACCGTTCCCTCAACATCTCAATTGCAAAATGTTCTAAACCCTTAATGGGAAAATAATGAGGAAAAAGTTTGTAGAAGTGAATTATGGTCGACTTGTGGAGTGAAATGGAAAATGAGCAAGAGAGGGAAAGTAACAATAAAGCTATTTGAAGAGGGACAAATCCGTTGGTTCTTGGGGCTATTGAAAAGCCTGGACGGTCCAGGGGATTGTACTCGGTTATCCCTACCCCACGTGCCAACATCGTTCTCAGTAACAATGAAATAGCTATTTTAAAGCTCATTCAAATGCAGAATGAACAATGGGGTCATCTACTTGTCACGTATTTCAATGTTTTCATCGGTACCAGTAAAAACACCAATGAAACGGTTCAATATAGTGAGCAATCAGACTGTGTGAACACTTGACGGATGGTTATTGCACAAATTTTAATGGTTTCTTTATTTCATTTTGTTGGGATTATATGAGGAAAAGATGGTGTCCTTCAATTTTATTATTAATCGATTTGTTTATTGCTCCAGCCTGAAATAGTGATATCCAAAGAGAAGGTTCGATTCGCCGGTGAGAATCGGGTGGTGGGAGGGAGTGTAACTTCAAGGTGACTCGTTGCATCGGTGCATAACGGGTCTGAGTGTACTTCTATGTTAACTCAGGTGTCTAACTATATCGTCACATTTGTTTAGAGATGGAAAATATCATTTAGTTATTCCGGGCGTGTGGATGGCAGAATGCTGCGGTACAATCCAGTAAAATCTTTAAATCGTCTGATGAATTTTTTTTTTCACATTGAGAGAAAAGAGTCTGTCAACAGGAAGAGATTTTCTTGTACCAAGAGAATTTTTCATTCTCGGTATCACTACTTCAAATTTATGCCGTTTTTTTTTGTATCATATCCAGAGAATAATTGACTGAAAGTCCACGCTTTCCTCATTTAATTTTCGCAATTCTAACGGGGAAATTCCGGTTCCAATTGTACGATGAATAGCTTTATTATAGGTTTAAGTTGTAGTAGATATTATGTAATCAAAGTCCTAAGATGATTTTCAGAGTTGAGAATAGTTGAAAATTCCGGTGGGACAAGAGAATTGCATTCTGTTGCAAGAAATTTTCTCTCATTGCGAAAAGTTAGTAATTAATTCAGTAGCGAAGTAGTAAACTAAGATAAGTGCATTTTTTTTTAGGCGAGTTTTTAGCCAATATCTCGGAATTGAAGGAACATGACTAATTTTTTATATAAACATTTTTTGTAGAAATGGATGAGAGCTGCAAAAAACGTCATTATGAAAAAATCGTTGTCTTCGTTCAATTTCGAGATATTGGCTTCGAAAAAAATGCACTCGTTTATAAATTATAAGCTATTGATTTTCAAATCGATCTATGATTTTTTGAGGGAGCTATTTAAATAAATTTTATCTCGGCGAGGTACATGAGAAATATCGAGATGATTATAATTGTTCTAGAAGACGCGAGAAAAGGGCTGGTGAAAAAAGAAACGGGAAAGGAAATTTTTTTTTGTGGAATATAGAATTCCGAAGACCCCAGGGAAGCTCATAAGTTACCGGTTTAAAAGTCGTCTCGAGTAAGTGCATTCGAGATTCTTTATCTCGGGACTCTTACCGTCAAACGAATGTTCATTTTCTTCTCTTGGAGATAAAGGAGACCATGCTTTGACCGAAAATTGTGATGAGCATTCCAAGAGGATTGTAAATCAAAATAATTGAACGAATTTTGGTTTTATGCTGCAAAGAGAAGAGAAACTGATCTTGAGAGTGAAAGCTGAACCGATAATTGAAAGAATCAATTGACGAAATGGGATCTTAAACTAAATATTGTCGATCCCTTTCTCTAGATAATACTGATAATCATTTGAGTTCAGGGTGCATTTTTACTATCTTATTATTTGTATTGATATTACAGATATTATCTGCACAATTAATGAACGATTTTTAAAAGGGTGACATTGAATTCGATTTAGAATAATGAATTGCATATTTCTTCAGAACATGTTGAAGACCAAATTCTTGTGAAAATAATAGTATTCTCATCACAAAGAGTAAACTCTAAGAATCCTCTGTTTCATCTATTTCCAGAGAGTCCAGTGGACAATAAATTCCAATCACCCCACAGATTTCGCCTGACGTTCGATGTGACGAGTGTGCCATTGGAGGAGAGCCTGAAGGCATCAGAACTCCGGTTAACCCGAATAGCCCTTCCAGCAGAATCAGACAAATCAAAGTACCTAGGAAGGATATTAATCCACGACATAGTCCGGCCAGGTGTGAAAGGACGAAGCAAACCCTTGCTGAGACTGATCGATAGTAAATCCATCGATATACGAAGCAATCGAACGATAAACCTCGATGTGCAGCCGGCAGTCTCTCGATGGCTCTCAGAGCGTCAGGAAAATCATGGCCTCCTGATTGAGGTGATCGGTGAGAGCCTGAAGAAAAATCCCCACGTACGATTGAAACGCTCCACCGAATCCCACGAGTCCTGGTACTCAATGAGTCCAATGTTGTACACGTATACTGATGATGGACGCAACAAAATGGCGTCAGCTACAGAAATGATTGAGAGACGCGCAAGACGAGCAGCTCCGGGTAAAAAACGTCGCAAGGATGGACGAGAGAATTGCCGACGATATCCATTGTACGTTGATTTTGTTGATGTAGGGTGGAATGATTGGATAGTTGCACCACCGGGATACGATGCCTTCTACTGTCATGGCGACTGTCCATTTCCCCTGTCAGATCATCTCAATTCAACGAATCATGCAATTGTTCAGAATCTCGTGTACTCGACGAATCCAGCGATGGTGCCCAAAGCCTGTTGTGTACCGACGGCACTCAGTTCCATATCCATGCTCTACCTCGATGAGGAGAACAAAGTTGTTCTCAAGAACTACCAAGACATGGCGGTAATCGGCTGTGGTTGTCGTTGATCTTAGACATCTTGGGGATTTCACTTAATCGAGACTCCACCAGGCAGTCCCCCGATTGCAATGAAGACTAGATTGTTACCCTGTACGTCATGACAGGGGGGAATTCTCATTGGCGAAATGCATCTGCTTCTGTAGTTCTGGAGTCCAATGGACGATGCAGACTCGTATGGATTGGAATGAGGCACAGGTGGGGATTTAATTGTGCCGTCGGTGTTCTTCTGCCCTCAAGTCTCCTCGGCTCAACTCCCCACCCAATACTCACTTCTGTTAAAAAAAAACATATTTTTTTTTCCTCACATTCTCTCTCCTTCTGTCTCTCTTTTCCACTTGACCAGAGGTGATCGGGTCCTCGTGGCTGTCTCTCTTCGTCAACGCTCGTTAGAAGTATCCAACAGTGTGGTCAAGTGGACAAATAAAAAGAACATTTGAAAAATAATGTTTTAAAATAAAGGATAGAGAACTGAGTGCGTGACGCTGCCGCATTCTCGACAGCTTCAGTAATTAACAAACTCGACGGCCTATGGGGATATATATTCCATGGAGACGTTGGGTTTTATCGTTACATACGTTATGTACGTGTGTGAACTGGACTCTGGGCAAACTCATGTACACTATTCGCCTTCTCCGAGGCGGCTTGAAGAATCGGTGAGCGCGATAGGCTAAAACCCGAACCTCCTTGATTCTCTTTTTTTTTAACATTTTTTTTTCTTCCAATCTTCCAAGTCTCTCTCCCCACCAATAGCATGTGGCTACGTACGTCTATCGTGCGCTCACGAGCTGCTCGCACTCGCGCACGTATGTATAATTTATTAATAAGGCTGTAGAGAAAACCGGTATCAGATTTACCACCGGCAGCATCCGCAGGTGCCACTTGTGTGTGTCCCCGTAGCAACCGATTTTAAATACCCCCCTCCCAAAAAAAAAATGAGAGAATTGAGAAAACGTTTAGAGCGTTATGCGTTAATGTATCGGTTCGATGATGGATGGGGGATGGATGGGGGATGGATGCTTGGGGGTGCTGATGATTTGGGGGAAATTCCAGTCATTAGTGGGACTTGTTATGACAAGTGTTCTGGACAATGAGATTTTTATTATGAATGATATGTCAATGAAATGTTTTTTTCTTTGAAATTGTTGTAGAGCGCTTGGTCATGAACATTCAGTGAGATTATTGAGTCGATTGTTGTTGAAGACAATCGAGTGGGGGGTAGTGATGTAGTAATGCGTGACTAATTGATGGGAATATCGAAATACTATTGAGCATTGTTAGCTGCGCAGTTTCGAATTATGACGATTCGTATGAAACTGCGTGACTAATATATTTATGTGATTATTCATCTTCTCACTGGAAGAAGTTGATACACTATTTCTGTACCCACTATTGAGAATTCTCCCTCCCCTTCCACGATTGCAACTGCGAATTTATTATTGTAAAATCCTACCGCGTATTTGAATTAGAAAATGTTTGACGTTAAACCGTACCTGCTTTTAAGGATTACTATTTATTTTTTATGTTTCAATTTTTATTGTTTTATTTTTTAAAAAAATGAGCTGAGGATGATGTGAGGGTTAATCCATATTATGTGTGTATATTTGTACAAATTATGTGTTTTGTTTATAGTGAAATTAATATTACTACTCGTTTATCTCTGTTCTTCTCATTCTGTGCTCTATTTACATTCTTTGTATTTTCATGTTCAATTTTCTTCTCTACTATTGAGATTCTTGTAAAATGTGTGAATAAGGTGATCAAGTTAAATGGAAAGAAAATCCAGGAGTCGTTGTAAAGAATTTGTAAATAATTTATTCATTGTAAAGTATTAAGCAATGTATATTTTTTAAAAATATATAGATTATTAATATTATTCTTAATTATTGAAAATTGATTTTGTTGAATTTATTGAAAATCCAGCGTCACCAAAGATTCAACGAGATTTTCAAGAATCTTTCAACCCAAAAATTTGAGTTAATTGCGAATAAATCTGATATAAATTAATGAAAAGAATTCACAGGGCGTCCACCTCAATTTTCATTCCACAAAAGCCCCGAAAATTGATTCATCTCCCTAAGAGAATCCTGTTCCCACACTATGTATCTGTGTCGACAGTCCATAAAGTTCCCTCCCTCCTGCCTTAACCAAAATAATAAGACAGATTTATTCGAATGAATCATCAGTATCCCACAGGGCACAATTCACTTAAGACAAAGAAGATGAAAAGACGAAAGGTCCAAGCGACCAAACCCGAAGAAGTTGAAAAAAAAAAATCTCAAACAACGAGGAATTCAAAAAAAAAAAAGATTTGTCGAGAGGGGGCATAATAATCATCCCTTCACCTCAACTCAGTGCGAGACCAGAGAAAGTCATCTGAGGAAAAAATAAAAGCCAGAGGAACTTTTGGTGAGCAATAATTTGAGTATTAACCCCTTGAATTTCACCAAAAATAAAAGGTAAATTGTTTCGTAATGAGCATGAGGGGCCCAACAAGGAGTTAGCGGAGGGGTCCTCTATATGTTAGGTCTGGTGGAGTGAGTCTTTGTTTTAGAATGCCCCTTGGGGTCCCCCCTGAGTGAGCGTTTTACCACACAGGTAGAGAATGCGGTTCGCTGTGGTACATAAGGCCCCTCCTACCCCCTCCCCCTCTCTTAATTTTTCTCATATTTTTTTTCTACATTTTTGTTCTTCCTCCCTCGCTCTTTCTCTCCCTCACTCACTTCCTCTTTCTTCATTGCTTCTCTTTCGGGGCCCCATGTCCTCCTCAACACACAGGAGTCCCCCTCCCCCGACTTTTTTTTTTTATAACCCCAGACTCGCACGCACGGATCCAACGGGCCCTCCCTAGGGCACTGCCAACTGGTCCCCGTGCCATCATCCTTTATTCTGCCTCACTCTTCTTTGGGGCCCCATGTAAAGGGGTGAGGGGGTGTGAGGGACGAGAGGGATGAGGTGGCGATGGTAGGGGTGGAAGGGGAAGAAAAGGGGGCTTTTTTTCGTTTGGCATTTTTTTTATTGCCTGTCTCTCAGTTTTTTCTTATTTTGCCTTCCATTTTTGTATCCAAACCCGCCCATCTATTCCCAGAGACCTCGATGACCACCACTATCCAACAAAGGTAATGGCTCTATTCCAAGGAGATAAAAATCCACGGCAACAAGGAGGAATATATCGATATATGACGGCATTTAGGGGACCCCTACAAACATATTTTTTCGTTTTTTCGGTGTCCTTGTTACCAACTTCGGCACCATTTCTTCCTCTTGTTTTAAGAACTTAACAAGCCTAATGACAATTTCAGGTAGTCTAGGAGATGGCTGGGGAAATAAACGTGCCGACTGATCCTGTTAAATGCATGTGTCATTGGGCCCACGGAAAATTAGGGACGTGTCAAGGCTTTCCGGGAGGCTGCAACTCCTCTATTTATTTTTTACGGAATTCACGGAATTCCGGTGATTTGTTCGGGGAATTCGAATTCTTTGATTGTTAGGTTTGGGGGTTGACACGTTGCTCTTCACCCGGGCCTCCTATTTTTGGAATGTTTCACGATATATTGGATTTAAGTGGTAGGCTGATTTATCGATTGATATGTTGTCATTAGGAGATTAAATCGCTGATTAAACATTTTGGGAGGGTTTCTTGGAAGGCTGATTTTGGGAAAATTTTGAAGAATATAGTGGGTTGAAACGGATTCGCCAAATTGATTGCCAAAATATCTCGTACTCAAAATTTTTTCAATTCCTTTGTTGATGGTAATAATTTCTTGAAATCAAGATTGACTTTTGAGAATTAAAACCGTCAAATGCATCAGTTGGAATTTATTACAAAATTATTCAGTAGCAAAGTGATAAAAGAAATTATCTCATGTCCTCAGGGAGTCAGTTTAAAAAAAATAAATAAAAAATTCCATTATATTGTGTATTTTCGCAAAAACTTCGCAACAAAATTGATGTATGAGGAAAATCTCAACTATACCCATGATCTAACGATAAATTTCATGCAGCTTTCCGCAAATATCATTTTCGGCGAATATCTGAGAATGTCGGCATTCAAAGAGAATAACGGAATTATCGTGGATATTTTATAGCTCCACGAAAATATCCCACAAAAATTCCTGTATCTCCCTCAGATCGGCAGATATCGATCTAACACCCATCCATTTTTGGACCAATTTAACCTTCACTACTTCACACTGATCCTACCTATTTATGGCTTTGAAACTTCAGCAGAATTGAATGGAAAATACCATGGAGGAATGGGTTATGGGACAGGCATGATTTTGGAAATGAGTTAATGAACAGCGCTCGAAATTTCAATGCATTAAATCAAAATCAACTCCAAAGAGGATAATTAACTTCGTAACCTATATAATAATCCGTTTTATGCGCCGCGTTTAACTCATCGGATTTGGCAAAAAAGTTACTAGAGTTATAGTTTAAATGCTCATTAACTCATCCTTGTCTCAAAATTCATCCCTCCAGGGTATTCAGCGCTTGAAATAAAATTGTAAGGACTTACCAAACTCGGACAATATCACAAATAGAATATTAGCTGTCATCATTGAATTTCATGACGAATTTTCGTCGAGCAAAATGCCATTCGTGGAATTTACCTCAAGACTCAATATAATAATCTCTTTATTCGAACAGGAAATTCGCAAGTAGAATTTCCAGGAAAAATTTTACGAGAAAATATAGATCAGACATTTCTCAAAGGTAACATTGGCGTTTTAATCAATGGCCAAACATTTTCAACTGTGAATAATAATAATAATGTGAATTAGCAATTTATTATTAAGAATTTTAATAATTAATCATTGTATAATAACAGATGTATAATATTTTTCTGAACTGAATTTCGCACCGGGAAAACGGAAAAATTTCGCAATTTTCAAAAATTATTTCACTGGGTGAGAAAACAATTGTGAATTTGAAAATGAAGGAGGTGCTTCCCTCTCGGGAAACTTCACGAAGACAACACATTATAAAATGTCTCAAATTCAGAGGCAAAGAGGATTGACTAAAGTAGAGGCTCAGTTCTGGGGGTTTGAGTGACCCCGGCGGCATCGATGAATTTTATTTTCTGCTGTACGAATGCTTTTTGTTTTTCATTTGTTTACCTGAAATTTAGCCGACTGTAGCACGTACGGAAGGGGGAAACCACATCTTATGGATTTTCAATGAAAAAAATTATTTAATGTATTGAAGATATACCACTAATGAAATTATAATTCCAGAATGAGCGCGTTGTCTTAATGGTAACGTGCTTGCCTACCACGCCGACGGCCAGGGTTCGATCC